GATTGCGGTAGCCTCCTTACTAGTTTTTTACAAAGCTCCAAGGAACCTAAAAATACACAACAATGCACATAAATTAATTCTGTGCATATATTCTAGAATCTATGACATTTTATAACTTTTTCAAAGTCTCAGTCAAAGTCAAACACTCAGACCAGAGTACAATGTATAGATGTAGAATCTAGATCTAACGTTACAATTACAAACTCTCACAAAAAAGTACTACACAATATCTTGCTTCTGTGTTGTCGTAAATTGATATTGTTTTTGGTTGTAAGTTTAACATTTTTCATGAATATTTTCCAATTATTTCTTTTGACTCCGTTGACTTAAAAATTCCTTTGACTGATTTTAGCTGAAAAGTTTGCATTATATTTATGCTAACTGGTTGCTTTGGGAATGTTGAAATAATTCATAGGCCTATATAATGGTTCTTGTCTTGCTGTTTAAGATAATAGATGAATATTTTCTTCTTTGCAGATGACAGTGACAAAGGTGACGGAAGGAGGCGCCGGCGCGATCTCAAGCTTTATTATGGGATAGAAAATGGTGAAGCTCCAGTTGAAAATGAGCAAGTTAGCCAAACAAGCGCTCAGTCCACAGACCCATGCAACCTTGATGGGGGAAGCTTCCAGCCTCAAACTTATTTGTCCAAGCTCATTCAAGTAAAGCTATAGCTGTTGTCTTTTCATTCCTTGTAATCTTGTAAAAACTTTATGTGTTTTGAATACACACAAATTTTGAATGTGTTTCTCACTCTTTGATTAATGTATGTGCCTTTTTTTAAAGTATTGATTGAAAAAAAAATTATAAAGTGCTTTGATTGTGGATGAAGTAAACATAGAAACTTCAAATTGTAAAATATACTTTGAATTATACAATTTTTTTTCTGCCTAATATTTGTTTTCCAAACTTGATTAGTCTTTCTCTACCTCTCTTCTCTCTCTCTCTCTCTCAATTTTTTGTCTCTCACACTCTATCTTGATTAAATTTCACAAGCGAATTTTAATTTTATATATATATATATATATATATTATGAAATTTTGCCACAATTTGGTGCCAGAAAAAATAACTTCTAAAAAGAAGTGTCGATTACATTCAAATGAATGGGCAAAAGTTTGTATGCTTGCTTCATTTTTACCTTCTCTCTATGGCTCTTTCCCAGGAGCGTTCTCTGACAGAGTTGATGGATGAAGAGCAAAAGATGGTTCGTGACATCAAAGGCCTGGACAGTGATATGCAAACTCTGGTCTATGAGAACTACAATAAGTTCATCAGCGCCACTGACACCATCAGGAAGGTAAGAATCATGTCATTATGATTATGTTTATTACGTATATTAGTGCCTTTTAATTAATAAGATTTTTTTTGTTTGATGCATAAATTTTTAAATTTTTTTTTCGACTTTTAAATTCTGTGGTTTTGCTAACATGGTTTGACCCTGGTTTGGAAACAGGAGGCTGCTCTGTGGCCACTGTAGTGGGGAATTTATTTGCATGACTTTATTGATTTATCTTTTTCTTTTGTGTAAGTGCTTGGATTTTATTTTTATTTTTATATATGTACTTTTCTTTTCTGTTTCTCTCTTTCTTTTACTGAATAAGAAATTAGCTTTTAGGAACAATTTCGGATAAGTTGTTTTGAGGTTCTTAGTTTTGATGTCCAGTAAACACTGAAGTGAATACAAGCATTTCAAAGATATAGTATTAATATGGCTGGTGTATATGGTGTAGCTATTAGGTACTTTGCCATCTCATGGAGATTCCTGTGTTGGGTGAATTTTTATCAAGTATTTTGATCTTTCTGATCTGTTATTTAACCTTCAATTTGGGTTAGCCTTAACAGGCCAGGGTTGAAACTGGCCTCCTGAAGGATCTAAATTGTGTCGCAGGGGGCGTAAATCAGATACAATTTTTAAAAAGTACTTGTACAAAACAAATTTGTAAATTAACCTTGTTTAAAGGTCTTAGTGATCAGAAGTAGAAGCCGTTACTGCTACAAAATTGTTTTTATCTGTGGTAATTACATACCGTTATTCTTTTCTTTTTTTTTTTTTCAGATGAAAAATGACTTCAGGAAAATGGAGGATGAGATGGATCATTTAGCCAGCAATATGTCCGCCATCACCGACTTTTCTGCCAGCATCAGCAATACTCTTCAAGACCGTCGACAGCAAATCACAAAGTTGGCTGGAGTGCATTCTCTCCTGAAGAAGCTTCAATTTTTATTTGAACTGCCTGCTCGCTTGAACAAGTGCATTGATATGGAAGCTTATGTTCAGGCTGTGAGGTAAAGTACCCTGTTGTTTTGAACCATGAATTTCGGCTTCACTGATTATTATTAATTTTCTTGGGATCAATAGAGTTTTTTTCGGGTTTCTTTTCCCACTCCTCATATGCTAATTCTGATACAATGTAATATTGGCATAAGGGGGAGCTGTAGAATTATTTTTTTCTACGTCTCTCAAGCAAAGCATATGCATACCTGCCAACCCTACAGAAAAAATCGGTATATTACCGACTTTTTGGTCGAACTGCCGATCCACCGATTTTGGGATATAAGCTACCGACAAACTAGATCAGGGACCCAACAGGCGAGTTGCCGGCATGCAAGAGGCACGTGATCGCTAGGGGGCACGTGATTGACTGCCTAAAACCAGAGGGTTTCACAGTAATACAATGTTTAAAAACTGCTAAAACTAAACAGGTTACCAATGACGTCATTGCGGGTTTTCCCGATACTGCTTTGCTAAGGTGTAGAGGGGTGATCGGCCACAGTTCAAGAAACGTCCCGCTTTTTGGCAATATTTTCCTATATATGAAAGTCCCCTAAAATTTTGAAACAACAAATCCCAATAACTTTTCTATTTATGAATGGATTTTTAAAATTTAGAAACCACAGTTCTTAGAATTTACTCTTCTTCCATTTAAGCTGGAAAAAAAATTATAATTTTTCATTGTCATTGGTAATATTTATTTTTTGTTCTTTGTCATTTTCCCATTTTTTAAAAAGTCGCAAACACACTCATGTATATATGGGTCAAAACATTGATAAGGGTCCCCAATTAAGTATGCAGCAAGTGGTAATATAGCCTACTACAGATTTTTTTGACAAAAATTTGTGTCAACTACAGATTTTGGTCCAGGCAATGTTGGCAGGTATGCATATGACATTCACAAACATACGAATGCACAGCTACACACCCTTTCTTGCACACATATATACCCACTCTCTGTCATACGTAGACAAACACATGCACAATATTTTGACTGTATTAAAAACGTATATTATATCGGGCAGTCAGAATAATAAATACCCTTGGTTCTTTTTGTGTTTTTTTTTTACTGAATGCTGTGAAAATATTATTATGAAACTTTTCAGCTGTTTGTGTAAGAGGGATGAGGACACAACATTCTAATAGCTTTTCTGAGGTACAAGAGTCCCGACAAGTTGAAGTAAGAATTGTTGATTTAAAGTAAGGAAATGGAAAAGAATTTGGAATTTAAAAAAGAAAAAGGAAGATTTAAAAAAAGAATCGAAATGAAAAACAGAACAAAAACAACCCCCTCCCCAAAAACAAAACAACTTGTTCAGAAACTTATTTTTGGAGATGATAATTGCATAGTTGCCTTGCATGTCTCTTTTTGACAGATACTACACAAAAGCGCAGCGAGTGCTTCATCAGTATGAACACATGCCTAGTTTTCAAGGGATTCACACTGACTGTGAGGCCATCATCAAACAGCTGCGTGCTAAACTGATGGAGCGCTTTCGTCAGAAAGAGGTATCAATCAAATGCAGAGCAGTCTTGTTTGAAAGCTTAGATATAGGGAAAGTTCTTTATGTCATATGTTTATTGTGTTGTTTATTACCTCATGTGTTTGTTTTGGTATTTGTTATCGTGTTATGTTATAAGTTGATATTTCTTGTATCATGTCTACAGAATGATGTTTATTATGTCATATGATATTTTGATACTTATTTTGTCCCATCATGAGGATGATAATGATAAAGTAATGTATTTTTCTATTTCTGTACCTTGTACACTAACACTAATACCCTGTTATTTGTCATACATTGATAGATTGATGGACAAAAATAGGTAAAAAATAGGTAGTGTGTTGGTTGAAAGAAACTTTGATTCAGTTCTCTTTGAATGTTCACTTTGACTTGGTTGGGGAAAAGAAAATTGTGATTGGTGAGACAAGTTCCTTAACATAAATTTTAATTCAGCAACTGCTGGGTTTATGACCTTCAACTTAATCCAGTTTTCCAGTAAATTTGTGTCTTTTTAAATTGCTTTCTGTTGGTGTGTAAGGAGTTATTGTTAATGTTGAGTGCAAGTAAATTGTTGTTGCTGAGTCTTGTCATTCTTTCACATTGGGGCAATGGAAGTGGGCAATATATGCGTGTTTTGCTTCTTTTCCAGTCGACAGCGAAACAGCTGACGGAATGTGTAGACTTGCTGTTACAACTTGGAGAACCCGCAGAGTCTCTGTGTGACGAATATCTCTCACAGTAAGTCGTGGAGATGCGTGATGAATGGGATGTCTCTTCCTGTCTGTGTTGTGGGTGATGAATATCTCTTGCAGTGTGTGTATCTACATCTGGGTAATGAATGTCTCTCACAGTTTATTTTAAGCGTATAGCAAATATCTCATACTGTGTGTTGATGTGTGATGAATGTCTCTTACATTAGGTGTACATGTATTAACAAAATCTCTCACTGTGTGATGAACGTCTTTTACAGTAAGTGCAGATATATGTGATGAATTTCTCTTACTGCAATTGCTCATTATCTTGATACTTGCACACGTTCCCTTCAGTGATTTTTTGGTATGGTAAGTGCTATTTGTGAAAGAGAAATGTGTATTATATATGTTGAAGTTTCTTTTACATATATGTTTTTGATGGAGTTCTCTCAAGATAATAAAATCTGTCATATTATGTCGATTGGATGCTGTTTTATATTGTTTCTTAATTACCACTCACAGCTTTTTACATTGTGGAACAGGGAAAAAACCACAAAAACAAACAAAAACCCAGCTCTTTTTACCTAGATCAAAAGAAGTCTACTTTTGTAAATCAGTTCATGCACTTCTATTTGTCAAACTGGTTTCTCAGTGGTGAGGATGCTAATCTTTTTTTATTTCACTTTCTTTGTTTGAAGTGCCAAGCACAAATTGGATGAAGATCTGGAGGGACTGGAGAAACAAATCAAGTTATACTCAGGAGAGGTAAAACCAGCCCAGGAGGAGAGGCCAGCCCAGGCTTTTATGAGTGCCGGAATGGTACGTGGACACCTCTGTCTGTTTTGTTTGCTCTCCAGAGTGCCACATGTGTTGTTGCTGTAGGTCAGGGTTGGGTGAAGAAGCACGTAACATTTTGTATGGCACTACGTTTTCTACATAATGCATCCAAAAACATTTTTATTCCCTGATAATGAAATAAAAAATGATATGAATTTAATTTATTGAGCTGTTCAAGTGGGTAATATATGGGCTAGGAAAATGAGTTTTCATCTTTTGCAAACTGTAGTCAAATAGTGTCTGTTTATATACAGTTAATGTTTCTGTTGTCTATGAAATGACAATAGAAACTGTTCATTTATGCTGTTTGGTGTCACAGGAGCTTGAAAGCGAAGGAGAAAGTCGATTTGATCGAAATCTTTGTCTTTCAGGATGTCTTGGAGTTTGTAGACTCCGGCTGCAATGGATTTCTCAGCAACATTTGCTTGGTGATTGCGTCCTACAATGACATGTTCCTGAACAGAATGCAGACTGAGTAAGCCCCTGACTATCTGTCTGTCTGTCTGTTTGTCGGTTCGCCTGCCTGTCTGCCCACCCGCCTGTCTGTCTGTCTCTGTGTCTGTCTGTCTCTCTGTCTGTCTTCCTCTCCCTCCGCTCCCCCCCCTCTCTCTCCTACCCTCCCAATCTCTCTCCCTCTCTCTCCTTCTCTCTCTCTCTCTCTCTCTCTCTCTCTCTCTCTCTCTCTGTGTAAGTCCCTGTTTCTTTGCATCACTTGTCCAATGAGACATTATATGAGTCTTGCAATGGTTGAAAAGTTTATTCATTTTTTAATTACTTTTCTCCACTTTTAGTGAAGCCCTTGACACCATAGCCCTGAGAAAGCTGGTGCTGTTTGTCAATGAGCTTATGGAGCGGTACTTCTCGTTTGTCCGGCAAAGAGTTCAGCTTGAGGTAACTGGTCACATGTTTCAGCCGTCAAGAGTTCTGTGTTTCACTTTGTACAACAAAATATTTGCAGAGTCATCTTAAAGGTTTTTGTTTGATTCATTATTGTGCTTAAAGTATATATATATTTTTCAAATCATTTTGGTATTTGTTGAGCTAAAGAAGAGCAGGTTGGTATCGTGAAGGTGAGAGAAACTGTAGTTTTTTCAGCACTTGGGGGCTGGGTTGGAAATAGGGGCTGGCCAGTGCATATTTGTGCAAACTTGACCGCTGTTTTATTCTTTCGTCTATTGTAGTGAACAGGACATTTTTGTGACTGCATAGTTTCTGGAGGTATATAAATATTATATGTATTGCAGCCTGGTGGAATCAGGTGCTTGTCAAAATAATGAAATCTAAGAAACTAACATTTTTCCATTCGTTTGGCAATTTTTATCAAATTTGTTACTTTTGGCTCAACACCTTTTATATCAATTTAAAAAACATTCCTGCATGCATTTTACTGAAAAACGTTGGTGAAAGGCACAAAAAATGTAAATTAGCACTTTTTAAGGACCCTCATACTTTGGAAATTTTCCAACTTTGGTGACCATTTTCTGGCTAGTTTTTCCTCTGACACAAGGCGACCCCACCTCCTTCAATTGCAAATATCTCGACTTCTTTTCATGATGGATGGATTTTATTTTCATGAAAAGCAAGGCAAATGAACAGGCTTTAAGCTATACAAATAAATAACTCTATTTGACGAAGGCTTGATTCCTTTGCATCATGACACATTTGTATTAATTAAAGCAGGCTCTACTTCATTTTTACATATAATAATGTTTGTATTGCAATGGTCTGATTTTAGTGAGTTTAACAAAGTGGTGGATTTTTTTCACTTTACTGTGTCATCTATGTCGCTGCAGGTGATGTATCTCCAGGGTCCTCACCAGGTCGGGAAATCGGGAAAAAGTTTTGAATTTTGTGATGTGTCGGAAAGTCGGGGGAAAAGTCAGGAAAGGATAGGGCCTGTATAATAGTAGTAGTGTAGCTATCTCGACAGTATGGTTGATGAATCATAAAGAGGAAACATAATTGAACCGCTATGGCGACTGGTGGAAGCATATGTGTGTCACCGAGGCTTGATCGGGAAGAATCAAGATCTACTTTCGCTTTCGTTACCACCCAGAAATTTTTCAGTAATAGTCTGATAGATAATGCAACATTTGTAACATGCAGGTTGTGCATTACAAACGCTGTTTCGCCATGAAAATAAATCAATATTTGTCTTAAGAAAGTTATACAAGTGTTTTGTCAGGCTCGCCATTGTGACCGGTCAGTGAACCTGCGCGTTCGCATCACATGATAAGGCATCGTGTGAGCACCGACGGTCTGAGCGCTGTGAAGTATAGGGCTCCCGCGTTGGTGCAGACCTTGTGTGGAATTGGGATCCGTCATGCCTTGTTATTGAACTAAAGTGTTCGCGTTTCATTGGATTGGGTGATAATAATTTACATATATATTTTCGCTTTGTGTTCGAGATTGGCAGATTTTCAGTGTCACTGCATCTTGCCCTCCCTCAGTTCTTACACCTCTCACAGGGAATAGGTCTACTTGAGCCATTCAAGTTATTACTAATATTCTTCTTCTTTGAGTTTGAGCAATAGTTTTCATCTTCACATTTATTATATGAATCATGACACCCTGACTGATTATTGACAGTCGATATTCTGGTTCTAGATCTTTTCTCAGGCTCAAAACAGGATTCATTTTTTATGTAGTTTATGTAGGCTAATGAGGGGAAAATATGAATAAGTAAGAACAGACTGAAATACCTAAGTCACACAAGGTCCCAGTGTCACACTGACATGTTGTTGACTGGATATAATGTACCTACATGTGTGTGTGTGTGTGTGTATTCACAAACATATACATATATTATATAAGATATAAATGGAGCACACGCTCTCATTGTTCTGTAACATGCCCCTGGAAAATGGATGAGCCCCCCCTCCTGGAAAATTGAGAAGCTGGGTTGGCAGTCGTCCAGTATTATAATCATCTATTATTTGAAGACTTTACTACAAAATATACATTTGCATTCATTTAAAGACATTTTGACTTTTTATCATTGATACATTGGCTTTTTTGGGATCATTCTTGACACACAGCGGCCTTATTTTTCCCTCGAATTGGGGTCTTGAAAAAAATTTCCAGGATTTGGTGAGGACCCTGTATCTATTCACCTCAGAACTATTTGTCCGAAGTGTACTTAAGTAAAGAGGCACTTTGGACAAAATAGTTCTGAGACGACGATATATACTGCAACATCTTTTGAGGTCAAACTTCAGTTAGCATTGTTTTTCAGCCATCTGTTCTCAGGTTGTAAAGTTGATCACTGTTGAGGTCATTTATCTCTTTAACAGGTAGCTTTGTTTATAGTTTATATTAACCTTTCTTTTTCTTTCTTTGTGTAATACAAGGTTGTCTGTTATCATTACATTAACACAGAAAGAGACTGGTGACAACACTATTCTGGTGCGTGCCTTAGATCGATTTCACCGTCGACTGCAGGCAATGAACAAACTGCTTCCAGATACAGATTTTTCCAGGTATCCCTGCTTTGTAGATTTTACACTTGATCTGTCTTCTCAGCAGTGGTCTTATTTCAATATTTCATGAAACAAGCACGAATAATATATGTGTTTTTTTTCCAAATCATACAATGAAGATATTCTTTTTGGTAGTTATTTGTTTTTCAGACTAAAGGTTACTTTTTAGAATCTAGGTTGATATGTTTGATTTGTCACATTTTAGTAGGGTTTTTACATTTTAAATTTGAGAAAAAATAAAAGTTTTTGTTTTCTTTTTCTGTTCCTGTTCGCTATGAAGGATTATTGGTCAATCAATTTTTTAAAATTTGGTCAAATATTCAGTAACTATTTCTTTTTTTGGTTTTTGTTGTTGTTGTTGTTTTACTGCTTTTACACTCTTGACTCTAAATGAGGAAAACCAAGCTATGTTGGTTTTTGACGGGGTTATGTAGTGCGTACCTATATTGGAGGCAGCACTAAAATTCTACAAGATATGCAGAAATTGACTAGGTGTGAAGGTATTTCTGTGTCTGTTTCTATTAATAATATACTGCATGCTGTGTTATTCCTCAGAGCTGGTACAGAAATCGTGTCACGAGGTGCAAAGGACAGAGTGGCCCACTATCTGCAATCACTGAAGCAACATTTTGCTGGTAATGTACAATACTATCTGATTTCACCCGCTACCTCTATTGGTTTGCTCTGTCTTTTAGATTAAATTTTTAAGACCCGGTATGCCTTTGAAACAACATCCAAACTCATATGCTGAGGGCCTTTTAAATATGGTATCAAAAGTTTGGAAAGCAGATTTCTTTGGTTCTGTAATTTAAAATTCTTAATGAGGACTTTCTCTGTTTGGTTTTCAGTCTTTATTTATTTACCATATTTATTGACTAGAGTTCTTGGCTGAAATGTCTTTTTCCGTGACATGTCTCTAGAATAATTTATCTTCATAAATGGTGGCCTTGGTAAACTAAGGTGGAAGATGCTTAGCATCTGTCAGAGATAGTGTAAAAACCATTGCTTGTTTGCTTTATGTGAAATTTATTATTTGTTTGTTACTGTCAATGTTCATATTAGGATTAAACTCCATGGGCCTAAGCACACACCTCAGTGTGCTCTGCTTTCACCCTTCTGCTCACTGAACACACACTCAGGTGTGTGTGGTGATTTAGGGTCTAGCTGTTGACGTTGAGGAGTTCTGGTGCAATGGTCGTGTTGGCTACAGGGACAGGGCTGAAATAATTGAAATCAGAAATTGTCTTCTTTGTTAAATCATTATTGTTTTGATATAGGTGGAATTTAAACACCATCTTCTATTAATACTTTTGTGGGGTGAATTAATTAATAAATCTTAGACCCAAGCTCTACTCTTGATACCTTTTTATATCTTTTTTTCCTTCTCTTCAGATTGTTTAACAGACATAAGGCAAAACCTGGCAGCCCCGAGATTAGTTGGTAAGCAGGACAGCAATGCCAGATTGGCTGATCTGCTCAGCAACATGCAGAGCTCTGTTGTGGAACAAATCAAGTCTGTTCTAGGAAACTTGCAGGTATGGCCCTAAATTGATGAAAGTTCTTGGTCCATATCAAACGTTTTGCTGCTGAGCCTTGAAGTCAAGTGAAAGTCTATAGAGCTATAGTGCTATTCACTTCAAATATGAAATTTTAAGTCAACACTAATAAATTGTTCTAACTTTTAAGGTAGGTCCTTGGCTCATGTCAACCATCATATTTTGTAGTATTATATAGAAACATGTGATATAAAAATTTGTCTTAAATAAACATCCTTTCTTTTACAAGACTTATTTGTGACCGATGGCGAGCTGAATAAATTTGGGGAATGATTTAAAAGTGTCGATCTATACTTGAAGCAGATTTAAATACTAATGATATGGTAAATAAGAGAATACTTACTTTCTTTTAAATGATTTTGTGTTAGTTACCTAGTCCCCTCTAATCCCATTATCTGTTATTCCTTTTATTTTTTGTATTCTTTTTTCTTGGTTAGGGTTTACTTTTTTAGAGCCACATCTTCAGTGACATTGTGGCTTGTGTTAAATATCTGAGAGTTCTGCCACTCATCACTACCCTTGATGTAACCAGATTCATTTCAATAACATATTTGCTGCTTCACCATGCTATCAAAGTCAGAATTATAACTATAAATATTCCTCTTCATGTTGAAAAGTAAAATAGATCATGATTGCAGAAAATTAACTTGAATTCTAGAAAAAGTTAAAAGACTGAAAAGAAAAACTTTAAAGAAGTGATAAAAGCTTTCTTGAATAATCGCATAAAAGATGAGATGTATGGTTCCTTAGAGTCAAAGTGTGATCTATTTCTTCTTCCTCTGGATGTCCGTATTCTCTCATCTACTTCCTGTCAAGATGTGACAGTAATTGTACCAACTCACCGACCGTTTACTGCTACTCACAGCAAAGTTGGGATGTGACCTATTTTAGGGTTAAAGCATGACATTTTAAGTGCTCATATTTTTTATCAGACTTCGGTCTTATTTTGGTTGATCTCTTGAGAATGTGTTGAGAATAAAGTTTTGTTTCTCTTTTTGCAGGCTTTTATTGCTCCCGACATCACTTTTGCCATGAAGCCTTATTTCCGAGGTCCGTTTTGCAGTCAGGATGTGCGTGAGGGTCTGGTGGTGGCGTTCGTCCGCCACGTTTGCACCATGTGCAATGTGAGTATATGGACAGGGTGGTCCGTTTCTTCATTATGTGTACTGTTGATGGCCCAGTATCCTTTTCTTGCCTGCGGACTATGTCTATACCTTTGATGACAGTGGTATGTGCTGACTTGGACTGTTACAGGTTCTGATGTGATAGTATGATAGTGAATATAAAATGACCTACTGACACAGTTCAGATTTTCAAGGAGGCAAGCTGCTTGGAAACTGCTTGACAGGATTGACCTGGGCTGGTCAGCATGTCTCAGCAGAGAGACAGAGATCTACTTTGAAAAATATCTTCTCCAATTGGGCATAGAGTTAAAAAATGGATTGATTCCCTTTAGTTTGGCTGTTATGAGGGTCTTGTGCTAATTTAAGATGACCTTTTGTTATAACAGTCCTCAATGTTGACTGAGACTATGTGTGTACTGGTTCTTTGTGTTTGTTGACTGTATTGGCTGGTCCTTCACTGTGACTTATTTAAATTATTCACTGTCTTTTGATTGTGTTAGTTGATTGTACTAAAGAGCTAGAGCTGTGTTTACACAGGAGTGGGCGCTATGCTATAGAAATTATCTTCATTATTATTATTATTATTACATTTGACAGTTACCCAGTGTTATTTGACTGTTTACTCTGTCTCGAGCTTGTATTTGTTCACTGTTCCCTTGAATTTGATTGTGTTTAGCGACTGTTACTGATCTCCTGTATTGAGTGTCACCATTATTAGTTGCTTTTCCTGCCTTGAATTTTAGCTTTTTGTTAGAGAGCTTTGTTTTTTTAACTTTTGAGGTACTGTGTGCTTCCCTTTTCAAATGACTCCTGTTGGTTTGGTTCACTCCCTTTTCCGAATGATCTTTTCTATAAATACCAAACATGGGCTGATCTTTTTTGCTTCTATTCAGTACTACTGTTGATGTTATCTGTTCTTAATTCTTACAACATGTGTCAGTTTTGTCACTGAATTTCCCACAATTTGATAACCACTTCTCTAATTGATAATGAAAAGGTTTGCATTTTTGTTAATCTGTTTATTATTTTTTTCTTCTTTTTTCTTTCATGTGCAGGATTTTTGTGAGGTTCCTGGAGACAAGACCACCAGTCCTCCTGCTCTACTCATGATTCTGTCACGATTCTGCATTGACTTGGAGAACGCCACCATTTCTTACTTGGTGTGTGATCACTAAAAGCCTATTCTTACGGCCTGTATCATTTGTTTTTCTCAAGATTAATTTTTTCAATGATTGTTTAGAAATTCAAAGTTTTGTTGGATTTGTTTTCCATATAAAAGATTTTGTTTCCTTCGATGTTTTTGAAGTTAATATAATGGTATTTGATATTTTGGATATATTTTACTGTACTATGTTATCTTGTGTTTCTCTTTCGTTGATGTCCACCTTAATTCGAAAATTTTTTTTGGTGTTAATGTAGATTATCACAAGAAGAAGTAGGATTTAAAAAATGGAATAAATATTCAACTACAGTTAAGATCAGACAACGAGGTGTACATAGAGAGAAGCAATCAAAACTGTATTATTCAGCCTGTAAGCTCGAAACTAACATCGTACTGGTACTTAAGCTATATTCTATATGTTTCTGAAGAGGGGAATGAAGTGCAAAGAGGCTGCTCCAGAATGTATCAATGTCGCGTGTTGTAACAATGTCATCTGTGTGTTACAATGATTAATAATTAACAGTCATTTATCATAGTTTTGAGTAAGGGGAAAAAAGCTCAATTATTTCATGTTGATTTCTTTCTTGTACCATATAAGTTTAAGTCTATAGGTGCATTTACACTGTTTAATGATATGGGACAAGTTGTATTAAAAAGCATGCCACCGTAGGGGTTAGTTCAATTTTGGCTTTAGTTTGATTGAGGCCATTATCTTTGCACATTAATGTTATAAGTGGACTTCATAGCATTGAGTTACCTAGTTTCTTTTGTTACAACAGCTTTTTTTTTTTTTTTAAACTTAACATTTTGTTGATAAATGATTTTTGTTGCCTCTCTGTTTGCATTGGGCACACCATTAACTCAACTGATATGATAAAACTTTTACTAAAACTAAAGTAACTTAAAACCTGTATTACATCATGTTTCTATTGTCTATACAGGTAGGCTTCTCTACTTTTGTTTGTTCTACGTTTTCTGTTTCTTTAGCTGTCAGTGGCAGAAGAACAGTTCATGGTGGAAGACAAAGGGACAGTGACACCCACGGCGGAGTTGTGGGCCATGGCCAAAGACACGGGTCAACGATTGCTCAACCACTACGTCCGCGTGCAGGGACTAACCATATCGCAGGTGAGATGAAATACATGTCTTGCCTCCAGTTGAAATGATTGTTAAGCTGTCAGGAATGGGATGTGCAAAATTTCAATGAAATATGTTATTCTGGTGCATGCCTTTTGTTTTTGGCCTACTTGTTTCAAAGCATGTCTGCTCCTTACTTTCAAATAGTTCCCAACACGTTATATTTTATATTATCCTTGACACATTGTGGTTGGTTAAAGATGATTTGGTATGCACTTTTCTATGTTTCAACTGATTTTTGACTGATTTCACACATAGGTATACACACATGCTCACACACATGCTCACACACACACACACACACACACACACACACACACACACACACACACACACACACACACACACACACACACACACATGGATGGTTGGAGGATGCTCTGGTGTGGTTTGCTCCTTCTTTCCTATCAAACATCTATCGTCCTGATCTCTCCTTTTTTTGTGTTTGTTACTCGCTTGTAACATCTCTAATCTTCGGCACTTATGTGACCTTATCATGTTGCCAGTGACGTAAAACTGTTACTAAAACTAAACACACACATGCACACACACGCACGCGCACACACACTCACACACACATACATACACACGCATATACACACACGCACTGGTGGGAAATAATTAGCTTGGCTGTAGTATCTTTTAGTTTTCCACCCATGACAAATACTGTATAAGGAGAATTTATCTCAAATCTGACGCTTCCAATCAAGAAATGACCTGATATAATATACTATTTGATAGGAAATGGGCCAAAAATCCGACTTTTAAAGGAAAGAATAAATGATTCTGAAAAGCGCTGTTTGTGAACTTCATCTTTGTTGCATCATAATGTGGGTGACTCTAATAAAACTTGACCATAAATTCCAAACCACTGAGACACTCAAAGAATCCACAAGATAAATGAAAAAGATGCTGGTGCCTGCTGTAGTACATTCAGGTGAAATTTCGATGTGTTATTCATTGTCTCTTGATGTGTTTAATACATCGTTCAACTTTTTTGACTGTGTATATAAAGCCTTCTTGTGTTGAATATTGTTATGATAATCTGCAGTGTTTCGATTTAACTATATCTGAGTATTTAATCTTTAGTAATGATCGCCAACTCTGTTAAAAAAAAAAATCTATCTGAGGCATCTGTCTTACAAGTGTGTCAACGGGTGGTTAGCAGATGCTCTGGTGTGGTTTGCTCCTTCTTTCCTATCAAACACCCATCATCCTTTTCTCTCCTCCTTTTTTGTGTTTGTTATTCTCTTGTAACACCTTTCATCTTCAGCACTTACAGGAACTGTGTTGCAAGTGCCATAAAATGCTTACGTAAACCATTACAAGTGTGTCATAACATTACAAACTTGGTGTACTTTGAATCGTGGTATGTTACCACCGGAAGGGTTGCACATCCTGCTGGTATGCAGGGGGGAGGGGGGAGGAGTTACATGTTACCCAATGTCAATCTCCTTTTTTTCTGGGGGTTTTTTTTTTAGATGTTGCGTAAAAGTGTGGAAACGAGAGACTGGCTGAATACAATCGAGCCTCGCAACGTGAGAGCGGTGATGAAGAGAGTGGTGGAGGACATCACAGCCATAGATATGCAGGTAAGAACAGTTGTAGACAGCCATGTAAACCTTTTTAATTGACAAACTGTGTGTTAGCTATGTTTTCATACTGTTATTTATCCTGTGGGCATTTAGCTTTTGCATTTATTATACAGATACATTTTTAATGACACTTCTCTCTTATTGACTTTAAGGAATTTGAGCCATGTTGCTAAGCATATGTTGAGTGAAGAGACCAAAAGTATTGTATTTTAAAAATGCGAAGTACAAATTTTCTGGAGAAAGAAAAGACACATTTACTCTTTTGCTGCTTGTCACTTAACTCTTTTCCTACCTGGCCAAAATCCACCATTGACCCAGGGCTTTTCCATGACCTATTTTTACGCCCCTACCCCACCAAAGGAAAATGTCAAAACATCCAACTAAACACACACAAACCTTATCGTACGGCCCATCAAACTGAAGGATAAAATATAATCTATCAGATGGTGATACAATATTGAAGATTTATTTCAGTTATATTTGTTTGGGGTTTCTAAAAGTGATTATGCATTATTGAAAGTGTCGTATGAAATCAACAATTTTCAAGCTTTGAAAGATCATATCTAAAAAGCTACAACAACAGCATCATTCAAACTTCCCAGGTAGGTTGCCCCAGATAATGTAAAGAAATGCTGAAAATTAGGTATGTGTACTTAATATAGAAGTGAAAATATGAGACATATTCTGAAGTCAGGGGGGGGGGGCGCTTTTCTTCTCATTTTTATGTTTTGAATGGGACAAAAAAAGTGCTGAAATAACTAAAAATCATCTTTCACTGCTATATTTTCTTTCATATCTGCAGACAGGAAGTCTATTCTATTATTTGGAAAACGTGGACTCGCCCAAGAATTTCGTGTGTTTTCATTACTGGATTGAAATAGATAGCGAGCCACTCGGTCCAGCGAGTAGGAAAAGTGTTATGCTTTTTATTTTTAAATCTTACGTTGCTTGGCAATTTTACTGTTTTACTAGTAAAAATGCCTTGCTGCACTGTCAGATCTCTCTCAGCAGGAAAATGTTTCATCCTATCTTGCGATACATTTGGTTTCCTTCCCTTGGTGTATCATGGCAGCTACAGTTTAATAGACATGGGTAAATAGAGACATAGGAGTAGGCTGTACTCGGGAAAAAAAACGAGATATGGCTGTCGCAGCTAGAGATGTGTACCTGTGTTTATTGTCAGTGCACACTTATTTTATTCCAGTCAAATTCTGTGGGAACTGTAGAATGAAAATGACTTATGTTGCCAGGTGTCCATATACTTCTCTGATTTTGGTGCAATCTGGTTCCATTGTCCAAAGTTGAAATAGTTTAATTTTCTGGGTCACAAATGAATCAAATATGCAACCACTTGACAAATCAAGATTCAAAATTAATGTTGGGAGGACTGAAGCTCAACCGTTGACTCGTACTGTGACCCGACTCATTCTGTAAATATTCACTGACCATTATAAGAGAAGTCTGTGTGGCAGTGGATCGACTGACACTACTGTTCTGGTTTCTCTCCCCGTATTTCTAGGTTGGTCAGCTGTATGAGGAAGGTGTACGGAAAGAGCGGAGCAGTGATTCGAGTCGTCGCACACATGCTCTCAGCTCCTCACAGGCAAATAGACGTCCACAGTGGAACTATGCTCCAAGGTAAACGTTGTTGCTGTGGAGGAGGGGGGGAGGGCGCTTTTCCTGACTTTTCTGTTGTCCATTTGTGCCTTTTTTGAAAACATATGATATATGTGTCTCGACATTGTGAAATCAGGCGCTTGTCAAAATACAGAAATTGGAGAGAGGCATTTTTCCGCCAGTTTGGAAATTTTTATCGAATTTATTTTTTTTGGCTCAACTTCTTTTAAGTCCATATAAAAACAATTTTCCATGTGACTTTTACTTAAAAGCATTGATTAAAGGCACATAATATGTTATTTTTCTGTTTTCAAGGACTCTTTAAATGTTGGAGTTACCAAACTTTGGCGACCATTTTCCTGCTAATTTCACAACTGAAACCAGGCGACCCCACTTCCTATAATCGCAAATACCTTGAGTTCTATTCAAGACAGATGGATATTTATTTCAATTAACACAAGGCAAATAAATCAGCTTTTAGATGATACCAATAACTCTACCTGCTAAAAAATTTACGAGTGCCTGATTCCACCGCGTCGTGACACATATGAATGAAATTTCAAACGTTTTGATATCCCATCTTTTTTCCACACCCAGTACTACGTTAGTAACTTGTGTCTTTATATTGTTCATTCTTGCATTCTGTTCTATAAATTACTGTTTGTGATGAAGAAAAAAAGGTCACTTTGGTATCCTTGCTGAAATTTCTTGAAACTGGTGTTTATTTACACTCACAACATACTGCCTGATCCCATACAAAGTACACTACCATCAATTCGAAGGACTAATGCTGTTGGCGAATATGCAGGACAGTCCAATTTTTCGAAAAAAAAGTCAGCCCATTTTTCTTAAGACACCCGTTTCTAAACTAGCTCTTCGGCTTTGTTTGACTCAAATCTCTGTTGAAAATGCATATTTTTGGTCTTTTTCAGTGTGGACAACAGTCTAATGAGCAACATACAAAAACTTTTCTCTGAGAAAATTGAGATCTTCAGTGCTGTCGAATTTTCCAAAGTGTCTGTTCTCACTGGCATTGTCAAGATTAGTTTGAAGGTAACCTATAAATGTTGTCGCCTCTAAGGGGAACATGATCTTCTACTTGTTTTAACTCTGTGAAAAATCATTTTTAAGTTCCACTGAAGTAGAATGTCTAGCTATATTGTGAAAATAAGTGTGTATGTTGGAAGATTAAAAGTGTACTTTTTTACATTTGTCTATGCCCTCTGACAGAAGGCTTGCATGTTTCCCATTAACTCGCATAGCCAGTTTGTTTTTTCTAATCTGCCATTGATCAGCCTGAGAACATTCTGTATAAGAGTCTATGAGGCTCATATTGTCTTCATTATCATGACGTGCCATTGCTGTTTCCATCATCAGTAAAATGTAACTAGATGAATTGAGGAAAATTTGTGAACTGGCAGTTTTTAAATTGAAAGCCTAATGAGCCTTAACTAAGACACCACATAACATAACTTAATACAAATTCTAACATTCAGGTATTTATATATAACTTTTGAAGAATCTTTCAGAACAATATCATCTACTTTCCTGATAAATTGCATTGTTCTAAGTGATTACCTGAAGAATTTGGTATTCAGAAACAGTCTGTTGGAAAAAATAAGGGATTTGATAGTTTTTATAAGTTGTGTTATGTGTGTTTTCATTTCAGTAATGCCCCAGTGACACCGCTTGGTTTCAGATTGTCTCATTGCTTGTGTGAAACTAGTAACTTGCTTATTTCTGTTTCTTTTTATATGCTGCATACTTATTTTAATTGCTTCCTTGTTGTTTTTTAAATTGCCAGACATTTCTGGAGTGTGTTCGGCTGAGAACTTTTGGGAGGTACGGACTGCAACAGATTCAGGTGGACACACACTATCTGCAGTTGTATCTGTGGAGATTTGTCTCTGATGAGAAGTGAGTTCTTGGTCTTAATAATTTCTCATCCCCTTTCCTTCCTCTGTTGATAGTAGTTTGAGCTTTGAAGAGATACTCACCTCATACGATAAAAGTCTTTGTTCACACAAGTAGGCTCCATGGATTTTTAGTTCTTTTTGTCCCAGGATTTTTGTACATTAGTCAAAGAATAAGTCGGATTATGCTCCTGGTGTTCTTGGATGATGACAAAAACCTTAGAGCAAGTTTTAAAATTCAGTTTAAAGGGTATTTTAATCTTTCCTGTACTTCTTTGTCATTAGAATCAGTGTCATTGAAGGTTTGTTCTAATTATTTGCCTGCAGTTTGATTTTAATCTAACTACTGTGTTGTTGCAGCTGTTATATTATAATGAATGCAGTTTGCTAGCCCTACGTATTTAGTAAATAAATTGCAGCATATTTCCTTGAATTGTTTTCCCCAAGTTTTGAAAGAATGGGATAAAGAGTTACAATCATAATTGAAAAGGAAAATTGTGCTGCTTCATAATATGCGCACATAATATATCCATGTTCACTGAAAACACACACAAATATTGACTTACATGCAAGGAGCAGCAAAGAAAAGCGTTTAAAATAAGTGTGTATATACGTATTTTCAATGCTTTTCTCTGCCGGTCCTCAACTATTTCAAATATAATTTAAAAAGAAAATGTCATTATCATTGGAGCAGCGAAATCCTCAGCTGTTCTTGTCCTGGAATCGCTCATGTTCTATGACTAATTCACTGACTCTTGACCGTACAACATTAAGGTAAACTTGACCTTCATTACCTTTTTTGTTGCCAGCCTGGTGCAAGTGTTGCTGGATGAGATTGTGTGCAGTGCGGTGCACCGCTGTGTTGACCCTGTCATGATGGAGCCCAGTGTAAGTGTAGCTGTAACTGTTTTTCTCTTATTCCTTGATCCAGTTTTGTACTGCACTACTTGCAACCAGTGTTTCTGTTTAGGTTGACTCTTTTCCATACGGGTAGTTGAAAGGGAAAGCGCTTTGAAGGTCTTCTCCATACTTTTTTCTCTCCTGTTTTTCCACTATCTTACTCTTGTTTGCTGAACTATGATGACTCAATGACAGCTGTCCTTGTCTCAACCTGTTTTCTAACCTTTTGTGGGATGGGCTTTGTGGTATCTTTACTTTCTCCAGTCCCTTGTGCTTTCATAAAATTGAATCTACATTTTTTCACTCTCTCTCTTTTGTTTTTGGTACTTTCACTTTACAACTCAGGACCACCAAAAAATGCTTAAGTCATGATGCAAGTGAACAGAACTAGTGTCCCAGATACATCTTGCTGTATTTCTAATCCAATAATGCCCTCTCTACTGCCATTGTTAACGACCAAGACAAATTTCTCCCTGCGAGATGAATAAAGATTGTCATTGTCATTGTCATTGTCATTGTCTTTATAGGCATCGATGAGGATTGAAGAGAAAATATTTTTAACAAGTAGCTAGCTAGGGTTTGTCTCATTGGCATTTTAAAGGGGTTTTTTTTGGATGGTATGCATGGTTGAGTTATCTTGTTTATTTTATAGATTGTCTCAGTTGCAAAATGGCCAGGTTAAAAAGATAATTCTATTTTGTAGTAGGCAGAAAAATGTCTTATTTGTAGCTGATTTACTACAAACATTGCTAAATTTTAGCTTTTTACTGTACTTCTCTTTCTTTTTCTTTTTGTACAGCCAGTTTGAAGAACAATTTTTACAAGTCTGTGGGTTGATGAATGACTTTGAACTCACCTCGAATTTGAACATCGATCCACTTTTTTCTTCTTTTCAGGTGATCGACTTGATATGTGAACGAGGGTGATAACTATCTTGAAACTAGGGCAATTCTTGGTGATAGCTCAACTTGAATGTGATGTTATAGTCTGAGTTCTGACTGGAAATCCGTGGTGTGTGTCCGGCTTTGATCAGGCTGATGAAAATGTTGGGAAGCATTTTATTTATGTTGGAGAAGGCATGCAGTGTGGGATGTAGTTAGTAATGGAATTTCATTTATTTTGTTTCCTGTTCCAATTTTTACATTTTTACTTTCCAGGATTTTTTTTGGGTTTATTATTTCATCCTTTTTTTCCCATACACATTTGTGAGGCAGCGTGGTGGAATCAGGCTCTCGTCAATTTTTGGGCATGTAGAGTTATTGGTATCGTCTTGTTCACTTGTCTTTATTTGGATGAAAAAAATATCCATTTATCTTGAATACAAGTCGAGATATTTGCAAAATAAGGAGGTGGGGGTCGCTTGTTTTCAGAGGTAAAATTAGTGAGAAAATGGCTGCCAAACATTAGTTCTTTCCTTAGCTTAAGAGTCCTTGATAACTGAAAATTTACATTTTTTGTGCCTTTAACAACGTTTTTCAGAAAAATCCACACAGAAATGAGTTCTTTAATGGGCATGAAAGGTGTTGAGCCAAAAACCCAAAATTTGATAAAAATTCACAAACCTGCGGAAAAATGCAAGTTTCTTCCCTTTGATTATTTTGACGAGAGCCTGATTCCACCACGTTGCCTCACATTTATTCATCTTAGGTCAAAATTGACTCCAGCTTATAAACCTTCACGGAGCTATGTTATCACTTGTATATTTTTTCACACTTTTCTGTGCAATAAGAGGTTAACCAGTATAATAGATATGTGTACATTCAAATGTAAATGCCTATTACTATTAATAAAGATTATGACTATGACTTGTGTAGCATTGTTTGTGGTGTGCTGACCTTCAAATTTCCGAAAAATCTGATTTTGTTTTTGTCTTGTGCTTTTCTTGTGCTTTGTCTTTCGGGGATGTTTTTGCTGTTTCTTAGGGTCAAGTTGATCTGTGGACAAATGTTTATCACGACTACCTGGTTTGGGGAGGTGACATTCCTATTAGAAGTAGGCCTTGTTCTGGCCCTACAGACAGCAGTGTTTGTTTGCACCTACAATAGTATCTTGTAATACATGTAATGGCATGTGTGACTAATTAGCCCTGAGCCTGCTCTCTAGTGGATCACTACCTTGTAGTGGTTAGAGAGCTTGTGTGCCTCAGTGACCCCAAGAGCTATGCTGGCTAGAGTTAATGCTCCTGGTAGGGCCACCCATGCCAGACAGGTCGACAGGTAGAGGTCAGACGAAGTGTGATCCACCGGCCCTCCAGGTTTCGGAGGTTCAGCTCAGGGCTAACGACCCAGACGGGTAAAAATCATATGTTACGGAAACAGCCGAAAAGAGAAACCATATTAGCTTCCCTAAACGTCTCTTAGTAGTCTTAGCAGAGGTTTTAAGGCGCTCGCAACTGCATAAGGTCATATGAGCACCAGAAGATTAGAGGTGTTACAAGAGAGTAACAAACATAAAAAAGAAGAAGGGGAGATAAGGACGATAGATGCCTAAACATCTGATGGCGTAACGGGTAGTAAGTAAGTAAACTGTCAGAAAATGCAAGCATTCCGGAATGAGTTTATTATTTTTTTTATGAACTGCAAGATATGAGTCACCTGTACACATCTGGTATTACAAAGGTGAAGGCCTTGCTCTGGAAAGTAGCGAATGGTGCATTTTTGTGTCTAGGACAGGATTATGTTTTATTAGGGTAGTAATGTATGATTAATAATTCTTGTCACTGAAACATACTAAGTTCCTTACAATTGTTTGCTGTTTTATATTTGCTACATTTTTGCTGTGAAAGAATCAAAGAGACTGAGAGGAGAAAAGTTTTGTCTTGACCATTTTCATGTTTGATATCTGTCTAGTGAGCATTTTACTGTTGGAGCAAACAGTGCTTGTGCTTAATGGTACTATGTTTTTTGGTCCACTTTTATTGGCTTGAAGACTTAAAAAAGCATGGATCACTTTTGTAAAATTAAGAAGATTTTAAGATAATTTCATTGAAGTCAAAATTAAAAAGAGTTGGAATTGAAGATATCAACATGACCATAAAAGGGAGAAGATGGGAGATATTTGGCACATGTATTGACTCTGAGAATGCCAAAGTAGGCAAGATTGCCCTATCAGACATGGTATTGGAGACCAACTAAAAAACAAAAAGAGTTAGACCAGCTGGAAGCTACAAAGGCACAATAGGAGATAAAGCAATCGCCCAGGGCTAGGATGTGCTGAGATTGCAGAAGGTGACTAGGGACAGGCAAGCATGGCATTGACTGCTGTCCGCCTTATGTACCAGACAGTATAGGGAGAGAGTAAGTAAGTTTATTTACACACAGCTGCTGTGTGCCACTAAATGATGGTTGCAATAAGTACAAAGAAAGAACTTTCAGTCATCCTGAGTCTTTTGTGGTATAGCTTGTGGTTTTGCTTCTGTGGTTTTTTTGTGTGTGTTGAGGATGGCGTTGACTTCCTTTGATTGCGATCTTTTGCAATCTGTTCCCTGGTTTTGAAGCTAGTCTCTGTTGAAGTTGTGTTACTTTTTCTTTTGTTTTCTACCTGAGTAGAGAATGACAAAGAGCAGGGTACTTCTGTATTTAATCGTGTTCTCGGAGAGCATCAAACTGAGTGAGGAGCCTTGAAAATTCTCCAGGCAACCCAAGTTCAAGAAACATAATGCTTCATTGGGGATTCGAATCAGGGTCATTTGCACCTGACAAATAGGATACAATGAAGAAGATTGAAGCAAATTGCAAGCGACAGCTTATGACGAATATACTGGACACACAGTGCGAAAAGAGTCACATTGGAGGATATTGTAACAACAGGCAAGTTTGATGGAAAGTGGCAGAGGAAGACGGAGGGAAAAGATACTGGACAAGCTGACAACATGGCTGGGAACAGCAAGGCAAGAACGACAGACACCATCGCTGCAACGCAAGACAGTGAAGTGGAAGTCCATGATCGCCCACGCTGGTCAGCAAGGCACCGGATGATGATGAATAGAATAACATGTGCTAACTGAGCTTACGGTGCACTCAGGCAAAATCGAGAAAATTACTAACCATAGCAATATGTTTAAGATATAAACCAAGGTTTATTCAAACATGTGTACTGACTACTGAAAAGTGTAACGCTATATCTTTCACATAAAATACCCCTGTGATTGGCATAGAGGTAAGGAATAAAGTTCGTCATTAATTGTTACAAGATTCTCGTGTCAAAAATTGGGAACACCCGCAAACATCTTGACTTCCGGATCCAGTTTGGAAGAAAAGGCAGTCTGTAGAATCGTGTCCCCTCGGCGTATTTGATGACTGGGGCCTCTTTGTCAGAACTGGCCTCTACTTCTTTCAGTTGCTCCAACAGGCCACGCTCATGTAGGGTCCCTGGGCATGAGAGATGGACACATTTGAATTTGATGTTTTCCTGTGAGTAATTCCTACTGCAGAGAATAAGTCATTTCAAGGGTGACGTACTTGATCCAGTACTATGAAGAGTAAAGGAAGAAGGATAGACAGAAAGCATGATGTATAATAATGCAAAGTAAACACACATGATTTTGGTACATCAAGGTGTAGATTTAGGCAGATGTGCGTGCTTGCTATTGTTATAATTTCGGTGTTCGAGGAGTTGAGCCACCAGCTGGGGTGCAGAAGACGTTTATTTCACGCCGAACTACGGAACGTTTTCCTTTACATGCTGATAGTTTATCAAACATAAGACACATACACCCGATGTGAATGGCCCAGGATCTAACCCTCAAAGTTGCATTCGTAAACCTGGGTTGTTTGGGAGTTTTCGAGGCTGTTCTCCTACTTGGTTAAGTTCTGTTGGAGACTAACGTTAAATTTAAGTAAAAATAAGAGGTGTCGCCTATTAAATGAACTTGGATAGTATTTCATGTAGTGTTTATAGAGTCATTAAAATCACCCCTGGCTTTCCTGACAACAGGCATAGATAATCTCTCTCTGTGTAGAGCTGAGTCTTGAAATTTGAGGAATGAAGCAGCAACTGTCTTATCAGGACCTGAAGATTGCTGGGGATAACTTTTTTTCCCCAGCACTACTAAATGACCATATTAAATTACATGTATTGTGTCGATGTGCTTCTCTTATTCTTAACCAAACAAAACCCCCAAACAACAAAACAAAGGCAAACGTTTTTAGAAGCCGCAAGTTGAACTGCTCTTGTGATACATGTATTCTCAGTTATGTTTTAAAAAAAGACCCCCTCCAAAAAAAAAAACCCAACAAAAAAAACCAAGACAAAACAAAAGGAAAGAACCAAAATCTACGTGACAAGTCATATTATATCACCTGCGCAAAGAAAGCGGCGTGTATGGTATTTTTTTTAGTCTTTTGGAGCTGTCTCACGAGTACCGAGAATAACTCCTTTACTATCTGAGATCAGGGGAAAAGGTTTTGCAGCAAAGTTTTTACGGCACACACGTAACGTAGCTCTTTTGATATCTGTACTCTCACACATCTGCTTGAAATCTCTCCCCCTCCCTCTCTTTCTCTCTCTCTCTTCTCTCTCTCCCTCTCCCCCCCCCTCTCTCTCTCTCTCGCTCTCTCTTTCTCTCTCGCTCTCCTTCTCCTCTCTCTTTCTTTCTTTCTTTCTCTCTATCTCGTTTTCTCTGTCAGTCTCTCACGCACAAAAAGCATGCACACACACACACACACACACACACACACACACACACACACACACACACACACACACACACACACACACATTAATCATCACCAATGTGTATCATGAAACTGGCAAATGAACAAAATCACGCGGGCAGTAGTATATGCCTAAAACATAATATTTCGAATTATCTTATCCTTTTAGGGTTGGTAATTATTATTAAGCCGTATTTAAAGGCCCAGGCTATGGTCAATGAAAAAAAATGCATCTTTTTCTTACCATGGACTGTGTTGTCCAACACGCAAGCAAAGAAGCCCCCAATAAACGATGGATTCGACAGCAACATTTTGATGGCAGAGTTTCCATTCGCGTTACCTAGATGAAGACCGAAGGTATAATTTAGTTTTAGCTGTAGCAGCGCAGGAACAGAAGCATGTTTCATCATCATCATCATCATCATCAGCAGCAGCATCAGCAGCAGCAGCAGCAGCTTTAGTAATAGTAGTAAAAGGCATAAACTTTCATACCGCCCACCTGCATGTATTTTTAACTGGGAGTTACAGGCGAGGCGAAATTACGTTTTCAGCTGAATTTGTTATCTTTATACTAAGACTAAGATTTTACTGCATTAAACTCAACTACTAAACTCAAGCGAGTTCAACACAAGGGGAGTCGACTGTATCGAGTAAACAACCCCCAACCC